TGTCACTAGTCATTCCCCTCACTGTCACTAGTCACCCCCCCACTGTCACTAGTCACCCCCCCACTGTGTCACTAGTCACCCCTTACCTCACTCACTTTCACCCCTTCCCTCACTCACTCTGTCACCCCTTCCCTCCCTCACTTTGTCGCTAGTCACCCCTTCCCTCCCTCACTTTGTCACTAGTCACCCCCTCCCTCACTCTGTCACTAGTCACCCCCTCCCTCTGTCACTGGTCATCCCCTCCCACTCTCTGTCACTAGTCACCCACTCACTCTAGTGACAGAGTGAGGGAGAGGGTGACTAGTGACAGAGGGAGGGGGTGACTAATGACAGAGTGAGGGAGGGAGTGACTAGTGACAGAGGGAGGGATGGGGTGACACAGTGACAGAGGGAGGGATGGGGTGACACAGTGACAGAGGGAGGGGGTGACTGGTGACAGAGTGAGGGAGGGGATGACTAGTGACAGAGTTAGGGAGGGAGTGACTAGTGACAGAGGGAGGGATGGGGTGACTAGTGACAGTCACCATCTCCCTCCCTCTGTCACTAGTCACCATCTCCCTCACTAGTCACCCCCCCTCACTCTGTCACTGGTCACCCATTCCCTCACTCTGTCACTACTCACACCCTCACTCTGTCACTAGTCACCCTCTCCCTCACTCTGTCACTACTCACACCCTCCCTCACTCTTCCTTCCTTCACAGTGACAGAGTTAGGGAGGGAGTGACTAGTGACAGAGAGAGGGATGGGGTGACTAGTGACAGAGAGAGGGATGGGGTGACTAATGACAGAGTGAGGGAGGGGTGACAAAGTGACAGAGTAAGGGGGTGACTAGTGACAGAGTGAGGGAGCGGGTGACACAGTGACAGAGTTAGGGAGGGAGTGACTAGTGACAGAGAGCGGGATGGGGTGACTAGTGACAGTCACCCCCCCCCCTCACTCTGTCACCAGTCATCCCCTCACTCTGTCACTAGTCACCCTTTCCCTCCCTCACTTTGCCACTAGTCATCTCTTCCTTCCCTCACTCTGCCACTAGTCACCCATCCCCTCACTCTGTCACTAGTCACCCCCTCTCCCTCCCTCTGTCACTATTCACCCACTCCCTCACTCTGTCACCAGTCACCCCCACTCACTGTGTCTCCCCCTCACTCTGCCACCACTCAACCCCTCCCTCCCTCCCTCTGCCACCAGGTACCCCCTCACTCTGCCACCTGTCACAACCTCCCACACTCTTCCACCTGTCACCTTCTCCCTCACACACTCTGTTACATGTCACATATGCATTCACACAGACACTGTATACAAAAAAGCACATGTAGTCATCCAGACATGCACAAGTGCATTCACATAGACTCAAATACAAACATGCATTGATACACAGGTCTTCACAATACACACATCCAAAGGAATGCCGTATTATGAATTATATTTAACATTTATTTAATGCACATATATTTGCCCTTCAAAGGGCCTGGGATCTAATTTTGCCCAGGGGCACCAAAGGCTCTCAGTCCGTCCCTGTTTTGTTGTGTATAATTATGCTTTTTTTGTCCTCCATTCTATGCATACCATCATTAATATGGGACTTTTATATATTATCTGACTTTTGAAAAACTGATTTATCTGTGGAGCAATTGCCCACAATCAAGATGGCCCCTCGGATATCAAAGCAACAACTGAGCATGCTTCGAGTGATAATATCCATATATGACAGCTATATACACCAGAATGGATGTACGTCATGCTATTTCCGGGTTCTGAGTTCCCGGACTCACGGCCGACAGCTGTGAGACACACCTCTACATCATACGTAGTATGATTGGTCGCCCGGAAATCAACACATCCAATTGGACGGACGGCGCCAATATTTAAATACCTCCCATCCAGGAATCAGATTCATCTGACTGAAAAAGCCCCACAGCGAAACGCGTCTCGGAACCCTCAAGGAAGACCACTTCAATGACTTTTATTTGGTATCTGTATATATATTATAGTTTTTATTTTGTCTAATTGAGTGGATCTTCAACTGCTTCCTGCATCTTCATAAAGAAGGGTAGTGCCTCCCATAAAGGCACATAGGCGCATATACATAGAGCCTAGTATAACTGGCTCTATTCCAGGTGAGCATATTCATGCATTTTTATATGTGATTACCCCTTTATCTATACGTATTTGCACCAGGATTTCTATCTTTTTTATCCACATATTTTGTGAGCTGCATATCTGGAGAAGGTCAGATATTACCAAATATACTTAAGCTGTTGTGATTTGAGCCAATCCCCAGGCTCTTAACCATG